GGGGAGGCGGGAAAGGTGACCCGTCTCCCCCAGAACCACTTTCCTCTAATTCCTCACCAACCCAGACCTGAAGAACAGGCACATCATTCCTTGGCAGGACAACTGGGACCCCATGGGCCCAGTTTGGGGAACATGCTCCTTTTGTGTGTGTGTGTGTGTGTGTGTGTGTGTGTGTGTGTGTGTGGTGGGGGTAAGTAGAGTTGAGGATGGGAAAGCAGGCCATCAAGAAAGAAAAAAGAAAGTGTGTGTGTGTAAGCTACTTTTCTCATTGCTGAGACAAAATACCCAACACCCAAAGTTAAAGGAGGAAAGGTTTATTTCAGCTCACAGTTTATAGACGTTTCAGTCCATAGTCGCCTGGCTCCAAGGCAGGGTGGCAGGGGAGGGGGCATCGAAGAGGAGAAACAGTTCATGGCAGGCAGAAGGCAGCAAAAGCAGCAAGGATCTAGCAACAAAAGCAACCCTCGTTCTATCCCTCATATTCCATCTAGGTGACATGTCCCAGGTAGCACTCACGCCCAGGATAGGGCACCTTTAATCCTAGCATTACACTAGGAACTGGTGTCAGCATCACACGTTCTAGATCCACCTCCCAAAAGCTGCACATATAACTGCATGAGGCTTTGGAGGGACATCTAGATACAAGCCATGACACTGTGGATGTCACCAAATTTGAGCAAAACACTTGACTGATGAAGAGGTGACAGAATGACAGGAAATTTGAAGTTGTAAGAATACTTGAAGCAAGAAAGATGGCGTTCATCAATTTGGTCAATATTTAATGAGTATCTCCTGTGGACGGATGTGGATGACATAGCTGGGAGCTTTTCCAACTCAGGTCCAGGGGAGCAGGGCACTGCAGGAGGACAAGGGGTGCAGTGCTGGGCCAACAGGCCCCATGGGAACAGAAGGAGGGGTGCTGCACTGTGCTTTGGTGGCTAGGGAAGGCAGGAGTGAAGCCAGTGGGCTTCTAGAAGGCCCGGTGGGGGTGTTAAGCAGGAGGCAGGCCATAGCCTATTATGCCCTGTAAGGAGATTCCACTTTAGACCTGGGACATTATAAAGGTATAGAAAGTATTCCAGGAATCTGACTACTGTGTGACCATTTGACAGGAACAAGGGAGCATTTCAGTCACCAAGCCAAGCAAGATGGCAGCCTGGGCAATGGGACAAGGCCCTTGTCAGAGAGCAGGGACCCATGTGGACAGGTGGGCTCTGTGAACCAGGTAGAGAGGAGACATAAGTGGGGCATGAATTCAAAACTGAGGAAATCTGGACTGCACGGGGAGACTGGAACCCCAGCAGCAGATGTGAGTGTTGAGTCAGAAGCCAGACGAGCTGCCTTTCACCTGGCACAGGCAGCAGACATAGTTTGTACGTATTCTTTGGCTCTCCAAATTCATTTATTTACCTCAGTGACGCTCAGTTCCTCTTCCAGCTGCATGGCCTCTGTGCAGTAGCAGCCTTGGCCACAGAGGGCGGAGGGATGTTTCCTAGTGGGGAAGACAGCACTGAGAGAAAACCTGACATGGGCAGTGTTTTACCTGGTTCCCTGACAGGTGTCTGACTTAAGCCAGGAGACAATGCAAGTATCTGAGTACACCAAGGGCCTGTTCTTCTTGCACATGGAAAACATTTCCACAATGCAAACACTTGACCTCATGGAGGAAGAAGAGAGAGAGAGGAAGTAGGAGCTAAACTGTTAGGCTGGTTTGCAAAATAACTGTACTCATTCATTTGTGTAAATGCTCCCACCCAGGCCTGTAGGGCATCTTGAGAAACCAGCCAGGGCCAAATTTATAATTAGCAGAGTCCATTTTTTGCTCGGAATCAGGATTGGTTTGGCTATTTCCTTAATTGAAAGCATCTAGAAAATGCAAGCCAGGTCAAGAAGTTTCTGATGGGGAAAGAATGGTGCATAAACAACCGCAGACTCCTTGTCCACTGGAGGCTGGGAGGAGGAGGCCGGGAGGGTGGCCTCTGCTGAGGTTACCCAAACAGACTTGCGTCCAGCAACTCCCCATGAAATCTGAGATTGCACATGTGCGTTTTGAAACCTCTGTAATTTTTTCTCCAGGACAAAGACCAAGAAAATCAAGGTTCCTCTAGGAACCTAAAAGCTTTTGACAGCCATGAAATAGCTCTATCCTTTCTGTAATGTTACTCCCATCCCTTTTATTTCCACTTAATTAGTCAGCAATATAATCTGACCATCCTGGGGCTAGATGGAAGGGAACTTATACTTTTTCAGGACCAGTTTTATGCCAGGAGGCCAACAGCTGTGGGAAGTAGGTTCCACTATTTCTGTCTTGCAGAGGTAAAAATCGAGGCTTATTCAAGGTTGCTTAGCTGGGAAGATAAAGACAAAATTCAGGACGAGCTCTGTTTGTCCCCAGATTTTTGCTTCTCTACCATCCTGTCCCACAGAAGAAGGAGGCCAAATCTAAGTCAAACCAGGAGTCCCCTTTCCTCTCTCCCAGGAGACCCAGTGGCCACCTGCACAGTTCTGCTGGTTTCCTCTGCCCAGCAGCTTCCTAATCCTGAACTTTGTGCTCCAGGTCTGGGTTTGGGACTCTTGGTGGAAAGCTCCATGATGCTGAAGGCTGGCAGTTATTTTGTTTGAAAGGTCGTGTCTTAGTCACTTTCTCATCGCTGAGACACAATACCCAACATCCACAACTTAAAGGAGCAGAGGTTTATTTTGGCTCAAAATAAACTTGTAGAAGTTTCAGTCGATAGATGGCTGGCTCCAAGGCAGGTCAGCATGGCGGAGGGGCCTGGTGAAAGAAAGCTGCTCACGGCATGGTGGACAGGAAGCAGAGGGAGAGTAGAGGCTAGGCCTCAAGTGTCTCCTCAGCTCAACGTCTCCTGATCTGGGAGGGAGGGAGCAGATGAAGAGGGCCGAAGACCAGTGCTCTTCCTACTGAAGCCCTGTGTTCCATAGAGCACCACGTATGTGCCACTGCTTGTGTGGGCCAGTGATGTCCACTGCTTTGGGGCTTTGTTCTCTTGACTACAGTGCTTCTCCTGGTGCCCTGTCAACACCACTGAAATCCCAGTTCCTGATCCTACTGGAGGTGAAGAGGATCCCCCTCAGTCCCGACATTTGACTCACAGGGGCCGCTCTGGCCAGTTTTTCCTACTGACCACAGTGGCTGTCAAGCAGGGAGCGGCTGAACAGCCTGTGCCCCAGCTGAGGGGATGTCGAGCTCTAGCACTGCTCCTGCCCAGTTGGGGTCCCACGCAGACACTTGGGCTCCCCAGGGCTGAGGCCTGTGTGGCCACGTGGCCTCCAGTTAAGTCTCTGTGCGACTCTGTGGACATAGGAAGGTACAGGAGGACCAAGGGCCCCACCGTGTGCAGGCCTGGAGTGGCTCGGGGCTCATTTTGCCAGAACATTCCCTCTATGGGAGTTTAGACTGTGCTGTCAGGAAACCCTACTTTATCTGTTTTTCATCTACTTTTTAAAAATTGTTGAAATGAACCAACTTCAACTCACAGTAGACCAGTGCATAGAAAAGCCCTAATTTTCCTGATAGCAATCATTCTTATCTGCTCCCCTGGTGACTTTTGTGTATTCAAGTCCAGTAAACATTTCAAGCACCCACTGCATCCGAGCATCGTGCAGGGCCACCATGAACTTGACCCCTCGTAGGGAGTATGCACTCACTTGAGGCTGAAGAGCCTGAGCCTAGAAGTGACCCGCTGGTGGCTGTTCTCCGGTCACTTTAGAAATGAAATTTGTACTATTTTTTCTTTGTTTGTTTAAGACCTCTCTTTGAACTTGCTCCACATAGTATAAAATAGACAGATTAGATGACATTTTTATTAATCTAATCTCCTTAATGAGGAGATACAAGTTTATGGCCTTTATTGATATGGAAGTAAGGATGAACATTGTTTGTACAATTACATGCTCTTTATATATTCCTCTTCATGCATAAGTCCATAATTTTGGAAAAGCCCTTTGCCTTTGCATTAACTTTGTCTACAATATGAAGAAGGGGTTTTGAGTTATAGAGTAGTAGCAGATCCTGTATTTCAGGGTCTCTTGGGTGTAGTTTCAAGAAGTAAGCCTTCAGGCCAGCATGTGTCCAGAGGGGAGCAGCACCAGAGGCTTTATATCACATCTGAGGGTGTCTCCGTGCATTTTCTGGTGCCGTGACAAATAAAGAAAGATGTTTCATTAGCTCACAGTTTTGGAGGCTATAAGTGCAACATCAGGCAGTCTCATCCAGTCAGCCTCTGGTGAGGGCCTCTGGCTCCATTACAACATGGCGGATGCCATCATGGCAAGAGTGGTGGGAGAAGGAAGGATCACAAGGGGAGACAGGAAGTGAAAGGCTGGGGAAAGCCTATGCTCTCTTCCTATAACAACCTCTTCTTGAGAGAACTAACTCACTCTTGGGAAGCCTAACCCACTCAGCGAGACCAGCATCCATCCATTCATTAGAGCTCCTACCACCTCGACACGAACACACTGGGAACCAAGCTCCCTGTGTGTGAACTTTTGGGAGACAAACTCACACCAGATCCAAACCACAGAAGGCTGGGAGAAGCTTGGTCATGTTTATCAGAGAGGAGAGAAAACACGAGCAGATGAGTTGTGTTCCAACTGCCTAAGGCGCTTTTTGTGGAAGAAGGGTCTCACCTTCTGTGTGGCTCTGATCGGCAGACCTAGACCCAGGGTGCCGGTTCCAGGAGGATTGGTTCTGGCCTGATGCAAAACCTGGCCCCCAAGCTGCCTCAGAGAGAGTGAGGCCCTCATTTCTGCAGGAGTTTAAGTGGAATACTTTACTCTGATAGATCAGCTAAGGGAAGGAACCTAATATCCAGCACAAACTTTCACCCCATGACTTTTATGTGTTCAGGCTTTGAGTTTGGTTAAAAACTAATGTATCACTTTGGTCTTGATGGTTTCCATGGTGGAGCCTTTGAGACTTTTTGAACCATTTATCTTCCCCAAAGCCCTTTCTAAGTTGTGTGTCCTTTCTCTTGCAGGAGAAAATGCAGAAGTATCCATGGATGTCTCTCTGGCTTACCGTGATGACACAATCGCAGAATGGACTGAAATGGCCCATGAGAGAGTGCCACGAAAGCTCAAGTGCACCTTCAACTCCCCCAAGGTAGGACACCTCCATGTCTGAGCTGATGGGGCTTCCATTGGGTCCCCCGCAGGTGGATAGATCTGCTCACACTTCACAAAGGTTGTTGTTATCCTGTGTCTTAATAGAAGGAAGCACAACATAGACATTTCATGTCCCTGCAAGGGAGGAGAGAACGGGAGGAACAGGAGGAATGTCTCTCTGAGACGCACTGTCTCTCTGAGATGATTCCGTAAAGCAACTCTTGGTTCTTTGGTAACCAGCTGACAGTGCTGGAAGAGGGTGGCTAGCTTATTTCAGGTTCACTCTGCATCAGTACTTGCATCTGCTGCTCGGTGTCTTAGGTATCAGGGCAGTTGGTTACTCGTGTGCACACACAATCCCAGAGGTCACCGCGGAGAGGGAAGGACCCAGAGAGGAAACCTGGTTTCACTGGAGACTCAGGTGGCCTGTGACCGGTCTTTAGGATTATCCCTTCTCCGGCTCCTCCAGCGAAGCTCATTTAACCCGCCGAGGAGGAAGGTCAAGATCCTGCTTGGACAGAGGGAGACATTTTCTTGTGGCAGAGTTCTTAGGTTCCTCCTAAGGGATAGACTCAGTGACCACAAAGGACAGTGGGATTTGATGGCACAGGACAGTGGAATGGGGCTGGGGCTCTTCGTATGTGAAGTGCTGCCCTTCCCACACTCCCCAGCCTCTTACTTTTGAGTCTCTGTGCAGGTGAGATAGGGCGACGGCTGCTGTGCTCATGGTGGCAACTCGTGTTCCCCACGGGAGTCCACGCTGAGCCCCACAGCCAGGTGCTTGCTGGTGTCCCTTCCGGTGCAGAAACAACCTGTTTTCTTTGCATGCCGTGCACAAGAGGCCAAACTGTGCTGAAGCACCTACTCCAATGATGTCCTTCCTTCCTTGCTGTCTTCAGATCAGTTGCTCCCGGAGGATTTGGACAGCCCTGTGGTCTCTGCCCTGTAGAGACACCTGCAGCTCTCCTCTCCCAGCCTCCGCCTTTCCTAGATTTGCTTTTGCTGTCCTTGTAAAGTTAGGGTCCTTGTGAAATGGGTAGGAATGGCAGGTGGAAGCCCGAGTCCTTGCCCCGCCTCACCCTTCCTTCTGGGGGGGGGGTAAGATGAGACAGGGCAGTCTCGAGGTCCTAACCAGAGCTAAGCTGGATGACTTCTTGGTCACATCACACCCCAACCGCGCACACTTACACAGCCGGCAAGCTTGCGTGAGCCGCCTGAGCCTTAGGGTCTCCTCTGCCAAATGGGGTAGGCACACCTGCCTTGGGGGACTCAGCAGGGCCAGGTGAGCTCATGAACACAGGGAGGCCTCATGGTTCACATCTCACCTGGAATGCATCTGAGGACAAAAGGGGATATCACCAGGATGGTTACCTGGACAGAGGGGGTAAACGGACCCTCGGATGGGCAGGACACACACCCTGCACTGACGTCCGTTAGGTCTCCCTCCCCCAGCTTTCGAGACTAGAGCTCCCCAGGTGGTCAGCAGGCCAGCAGTGTCCACAGCAAGCTTGTAGGAAATGCAGATTCCCAGGCCACAGCTCGCAGCTACATCACAGTGCACTCTCTGCTGCTATTCCACATCCTGCGCCCTGGGTACGTTGGGAACCATGCAGGTTCATCTGCCTCCCAGTTTTAGAGCCCGGGAGGTCCACAATCATGACAATGACACCTAGCAGGGTCCTTTGTGTGGCCCAAACCACGGCAGAGGGACCGAGCAGGGCCTAACGGCAGCAACCTCGCCTCTTACCGCAAACCCGTTCCTACGGGCAGCAAATGAGCCTGCAGGGGGCAGGGCCCTGAGACCCCCACCCTCAAAGTCGCCTTCACTCTTCAATTCCAGCGTGAGTGTGGGAAGGGATGGAAACCACAGCAAGTCCTGAATTGAAATCTCGGGGCGTGGACCAGGGCTCTGTGCTTTACCAGGTTTCCTATTCACGCTCTCAGACCCCCAAAGTTTGAGTCGCTGTTCTCAACGTGGCACCAAGCACAAAGGCAGGGCTGCTCGAAAAGCAGCTGTTGGGGTTGTTTCAGAACTGTCCTTGGGGCAGTGGATGGTAAAAATGACAGGCAGGTGAGATGGGGAAAGAGAAACCAGGGGCGGCAGGAGGGGAGTTGCTGACCCTTCCAGACCTTCGTGTGCAGTGGAGGAAATGGATTAAACTGTTTCCCACCATCCTTAGAAGGTGATTTGCATCTTTCTGAGGTTGAACGTGAGCAACCGAGCTTTGGGACTTGGACTCTCATCCTCAGAAAGGGAAATGTGTTTCTCACCCCGCAACACAGGCAGGCCAGGGCGGAGGGGGAGGGATGCCTGGCTCTTAATGACAGTTGCTTAATTATCTTTAGGATGTGTTGATCCCTTTCGAGAGAGATATTAAACCTTGAAAGGCACGAAGGAAATGAATCATCAACTCTATGCTTTTTGATTGCAGTGAAATTTAGTCTTGAGCCTGAAAATTAAATGAGAAATTGCTTTAAAGCTTTTTTAGCCCCTGGTGGATTGTGAAGTTTAAAAAAAACAAAGTCAAGTTGCCACCTGCTGTAATTTGTCCTAATTAGCCAGACTCATGCGGGAGCTATGGGAGGGGGCAGTGGGAGGGAAGAGAGGAAGACAGAGGGAGGGAATGTTTTCTTACGTGCCCTAAATACTAGCAGAACCAAAGGAAAAGCCGCTAAGCGAGTGTGTGTCTGGCCTCCACTGAGTGTGTTTATCCCCTGGTGGCAGTGTGACCCTCTGTGTAGACACTCCGGAGTAGAGGACACCATGGCAAAGGGGGAGTGGCCTGGGATCCCCTCACGAACCTCCAGCTCTACCTGGCGGAGAGAGGCCCGACCCAGGGACCCGAGCCCCTGGTGCTGTGCCAGCACGACGCTGTCCCCGCCCCGCCACACCCTGGTGTCTTTGTCTTTGTCCCCATCAGAGCTGGCGGCATCAGCGTGGCACCCTGGACTCGGGAGGCCCAGGCCACTGCCCCGATTCTGCTACTGCTTTGGGGACCTTGGGCACAATGCACGTGAAATGGTATTAGGTCAAATGGTGTTCGTCCTCTTCCACCTTGAAGCCTCACTGTAAACAAAATGAGATCTGACCGCAGACATCAGAAAACTGTCCTCATGCTGTTAGCCGCCAAAGGTGATCAGTCTTCTCAGAGCCAGGAAGCCGAGAGGCTGTGATGTATTTTCAGTACTCCCCGCAGAGCCTAATTCTAGCCCTGGTTAGTAAGTGCAAGAGAGAAAGGGAGCTGTGGCGGCACATGCCTATAATACCACCACTCAGGGAGGCTGAGACAGGATGATCACAAGTTTGAGCGCAGCCTGGGCCACTTAGTGAGACATTGTCTCAAAATAAAAAAGGACTGGGGCTGAAACTCAGTGTGAAGGTGTTAGGTTTAACCCACAGTAAGAGAGGCAGGAGAGAGACAGCAGAGAGAGAGAGGAGAGAGGTTTATATCAGAAGAATGACTCAAGCTGCCCCAAGATTTGAAAGAGAAGCAGAAGCAGAATTCCTTCCACAGAGCGTTTGTCTCACCTCCTACCTCCCAGCTCTGATCGACTGGTGCTTATGACAGACTGGACGCTCAGCTGTCCTGGCCACTGAGTGACGCCTGCTACTCAGGACTGAGCCAGGTGTCCGCCTGCCCCTCCAAGCGCCCTCTGCCTCCAGGCTGTGTGTCCTCTGTCGCTGTCACATGCCCAGAGCCTTCAAGGGCTGCAAAGTGGAGCTCTCCAGAGCAAGCTGGGCTGTGTGGTGTGGCTCTCACCACCTCGCGCTGGGCGGTGCTCAGCCTCCTGCCCCACATTGCTGCCCAGGAGGCCCAGGGAGCTCTCTGGATTTGCAGGTTCCACTCCCTTCTGCCATGACGCCTCTGCCTTCCTCCTCTGTGTCCCCCAGATCCCAGGACTCTCTGGGTTGCTGTTTTTCTGTCAGAGCCATGAAAAGAAGATGCTTTCCACTTCTTTAGCTTCACCATGAAAATAATTAGCCACCCTCTGCTGGTCCTGCTGGTGCACACCTGTAATCCCAGTACTCTGGAAGGCTGAGGCAGGAGGATTGAAGAAGGTTCAAGCCCTGCCTGGGCAACTTAGTGATTTTGTAAAAGATACTCCCTCAAAAATAAAAATGGGCTAGGGATGTAGCTCAGTGCAAATGCCCAGGCTTAACTTCCCAGTACTGCTACTACCACCAGTAATAATACTATGAACAATAATAATAATAACTGGCCCTCCTCAAAGAGTGAAGTGGACTCCAGCGGGTGCTTGCTCCTGAACGCGTACAGAGCTGACTCCTCACAGCCTCAGTGGTCCTGTAGATAAGAAGCTCTTTACCCTGGTGGCCCAGGGTAGCCTGATGCGAGACTGTAACAGGGATCAAAGAGCCGAGGGCAGCACTAAGATGGCCGAGATCTCCGCTTTTTCATAGAGCTTTTTCTTCTGCCTCAGACGCGGCTGATTTTCTGTTTTTGAGTGGGAGTAGCTGGGCGGACACCTGGCTCCAGGCCCCTGCCGATCCGTCCCCTTGATGTGTGCCGTTCGTGGAGCAGTAGCTTTCTGGGATTCTTGCAGGAGACACTGAGGGGTTGACACAGAGTCCTGGGGACACAACCACAGCCTGAGACCCTGTGCTGTTCTTCCAGACCCCAGAGCACGAGGGCCGGTACTACGAATGTGATGTTCTCCCCTTCATGGAGATCGGCTCCGTGGCACACAAGTATTACCTGCTGAACATCCGGCTGCCCGTGAATGAAAAGAAGAAAATCAATGTCGGGATTGGGGAGGTCAAGGATATTCGGCTGGTGGTGAGTGGGCTCACTGACCCCAGGCTGGGAGGGTGGGATGCGGGCCAGGGACGAGGCACCCTGGTGTGCTCAGGGCTCCCCCACTCTCGGCATCTGTGTACCCCCATCTCTGCTCAGAGCTGGGTCAGTGCCACGGCCCTGCCGGCCAAGATCAGAGAGCGAATTAATCTGTGCAAGAGATGACAGAGATGAAAAACAATGTAACTATTTCAAGTGGGCTGACGATCATTATAGTGATTATAAGGTCATGATGATAGGATTATGACCGCGTCAGGATAAAAGCAAAGCCCTTTTAACATGCCCCACCTTGCAAGCACAGGTGTTCCAGGGAACACAGAGCGTTTTCGGTTCTTTCCATTTTATTTGTTTAATTGAGGGAAAACATGGAGTGAGAAGAACATTTTTTGAAACCCCAAAGCAGTCATGCAAGAAACAGGCATTTGTTGTAGGAAATTAAGAAGCATAGGTAAAGCCCCAGAAGAGGATAACAATGACCTACCTGTAATGTCCAATATCCTACCACCTAGAGAAATAACTTGTGTTGAGCTTTTAAGCTATTTCCTCCCTTGTAAAAAGGGAGATCACACTCAACTGACCTTTATTCCTTGTGTTTTCTTCAAATAAGAGCATGTTGTGAATAATATAACTCTGCTTTCCAGTACTGCCTGGCATTCTAGCCGCCTAGATTTACCATAAGGCACTTTGCCAATCTCAGCTTATTGGACACATGGGATATCTACATTACAGTGAAAATCTTTTAAAAAAATCTTTGATCATATTCATAATCCTGCCCTTAGCATGAATGGACCCATTTCCCTGCTTTTTCACATGTATTTCGACAGTGCTCGAGGAGAGTTCAGTGGGTGCATGAGAGTTGGCTCACACCAGACTTAGCAACACTTTTGATCTTGAAAGCTCGCCACACAAGCTTTCCACTCATCTGCCCCGTGCATGCCTTAGATGGTAACTAATAATAATACAAAGATGTATTCACCCCCCAAATGCTGGTTGTATCTGTCTAGGGGATCCACCAAAACGGAGGCTTCACCAAGGTGTGGTTCGCCATGAAGACCTTCCTGACGCCCAGCATCTTCATCATCATGGTGTGGTACTGGCGCAGGATCACCATGATGTCCCGGCCGCCTGTGCTTCTGGAGAAGTAAGAGCCCTTTCCAGGCGCTCTCAAGGGACACAGGCTCCCCAGGACCTGCTGTGTACCTGCCCTTGCTGGGGCCCAGTTCCAGCAGCCACTGTGGGATTGGGGCAGGGGGTGCAGCTGGAAGTCACCCTGGAGGCCTTCTTGGCCTTTGGGTTTGCCGTGCGAATTATTATTAAGTCCTTGGGGTTCTTCGCCTCTGACATTCTGCCTTCCCTCTTCATCTCCACACTCCAACCCATAAGGAGCTTCTCTCTTTAAGCGGATGAATGGCCCTGCTCCCAACTAAGCCACTCCTGTCACCCAAAGAAGGACCATGCTCCCTTGGCCACAGTTCCTTTCCTTCCCCTTCCCACTGGATCACTTGCATTAAAACATGAATGCGCTCCACCACCTCCCGTTCTTGGACCAGACCCTGCTTTTCCCACTTCCTTCCTTCCCACTTCCTTCTTTCCGCTGCACTGTTTTCCTCTCCTTTCTGCAGCAAGAACACTCGGAATCTTGTGCGCTTGTTTTCTCTCCTGGGCCTGTGGCAGCCTGGATTCCTCCCCACTACTCCCATGAAAACGGCTCCTCCCCTCGTCGCCAGTGACCTCCACACTCCCAGCAAAAGGTGGCTTTCCGGGCCTCACTCTCCTGGACCACCACCAGCATTCCACACAAGGACCATGTCCCTCCCACGGCCTCTCCGTCCTCCCTTCCTGACCATCACCTGCTCCCTGCTACACTTCCCGCCCATCTTCCAGCCTCTGCGTCTTGGAGTCAGGGCTCAGCCGGGCGCCTCCCCTGCAAGCCCACCTGTTTCCGTGGGCTTCGAAACCCTCTGCCTCTGGTGATGCCTAACTTTCACCTTCCACCTCAGCCTCTTCCAGCTTTGCACCCATCTATTCCAGCTGTTGGACGCCTTCACTCCCATTCAAAACGTAATGTGTGCAAAGAAAAGTGCTTGATTTTCTCTTCTTTCAAACCTGTTTCTCTCCATTTTCCCCATTTTAGCAAATGGCAACTCCATCCTTTCAGTTTCTCGAGAAAGGCTTAAAAGATGGGAGTCACCCTATCTGCGTGCTCTCTCTCTCTCTCTCCCTCCCTCTCTCTCCCCCCCCCTCTCTCCTCTCATTTAACCCACTGGGTAATCTCACCATTTCTATGGCCACCACCTTCAATGGACCAACCACCGCAACTTCTCCCTGGATTACTGGAAATAGCAGTCTCTCAACTTCTTTCCTGGCTCCTGCTGTTTTCTTCCTAGTCTATTCCTGGGCAGGCTCGGTGCTTCCTCCTGGGGGTTAATCAGATCACATTGTCCTTCTGCTTCTCATCTCCTTTGCCCTGGTCTGAAGACTCCCTAATGACCTGGCCCTTTGCCACCTCTGATCTTATCTCTTCTCTCCAGCTGCCTTGGTGCCTGGCTTGGGCTCCCCCAGGGCCTTTGCACTTGCCGGTCCTTTCCGGGTACCTGATGTTTTGCATCCTAGAAATGCGTAATCCCCAAATCCTGCAAGTTCTTCTGAGGGTCTGCGGCTCCATCCAGGCCCTGCCCACACCCCCGCCTCCCCACCTCGGTCACTACCTGGGAGGCCAGGCCTGGCGCAGCCTTCTCTGTGCTGAACTGTGGCCACGTCGCTTTTTGCAGTCTATTCCTTCACCTTTGTCTGTCTCCCCCACTAAATGCATCTCCATGCGGCAGAGCCGTCCTCTGAGTGTCTGTCTCCTTGCACCATTCCTGGCGTAGGGTCTGTGCTTCGTGAGGCCATGGGCCATATCTCGTGGGGATGAAGAAGCAGGAACAAATTGGTGATGTAAGAGTGATGCTTCTACAGAGAAGCGGCAGTTAACAATGTGACAGTGAAAATAAAAATAAAACTGCACCAAACAGCCAGGAGAATTGATATTTCCTGTGTGTTTGGGGTCATTTATTACTGAGACAAATAGGCTCATGAAATGCACAGCCGCTGAGTCTGTCGCAATAAGAACATGCGCTCATAATGCCCAGGTCAATGATGTCCATACAGATGGGGGGACAAGTGCCCTTGGGGCCTGGGGGTTTAGCTCAGTGGTGCCGCCGCCTGCCTTGAAAGCGCAAGGTCCTGAGTTCGATCCCCGGTACCAAAAAAAAGAAAAAAAAAAAGAATTAGAAGGGCAGGAACATTGTCGGGGTGCCCAGATAAAGTGGGGCATCCCATCCTGAGTCAGCCCACTTCTCTACACCGGCCTCGGTTCTGAAAGTCCACCTCCCTCCTCGCAGATGTACAGCCCGCTCTCCTGTGCCTTCCCCTCTGCAGGGTCATCTTCGCCCTGGGGATCTCCATGACCTTCATCAACGTCCCTGTGGAGTGGTTCTCCATCGGCTTCGACTGGACCTGGATGCTGCTGTTCGGTGACATCCGCCAGGGCGTCTTCTATGCCATGCTGCTGTCCTTCTGGATCATTTTCTGTGGCGAGCACATGATGGTGAGAGGCCCGGGGCACAGGGCACGGGGACCGCAGCTGCACATCGCTCTGTCACTGCCCACGGTGGCCGTGTGAGGCGGACCGAGCCAGGGTGACAGGAGGGCATGGAGGAGCCAAACCCTCTGGTTTCAGCTTCCCCTGCAGTTGGCAGAGAAGCTTAGGACAGGGGATGTAACCTGAGGCTCCTCTCGGCAGTGTCACTCGCAGGCCTCGTGGGTAGGGTCTCTGTGAGAACTCAGAGATGCTGTGAGTAAGATGAAACACAGGTCCTAATTATTGCTCTGATTCTTGTCCTTCGGCTCAGCTCCGCTTGGCCCCCGGGAGCAGGTTAGCGGTGGGGAACGCTGGCCTGGCTCCCTGCAGCCGGCAGTCTGTCCACGTGACCCAGTGACCACCCCCCCCCCGCCCCGGCCCGGCCCCTGTACCACTCACCTTTCATAGACATCGGGTCCTAATTTGAGAGAGACTGAGGCACCGTGCGTAAGAACAAGAGCGGAGCCATCTGCCCCTGAGCCCGGTCCTCGTGTCTGTGTGTGAGCCTCACGGGACAGTGGACTCTTTCTAAGTCCCATGATGGCTGCTGCCCTCTGGGAGGCAGGACTTTGTTCCCTGCCAGACTGCACTCGAAGGGCCCTGCACTGTGAGGGTCCGGGACTGGGGTCTGGGAACCACCCGTTGGGAAGATTGTCCAGGATGGGCCCAGCCGCATCCCAGCTGTGTGCCAGCCGTGTCCCAGGAGGTGCTGGGGATCGAACCCAGGGCCTGGTGCATGCTGTGCAAGTGACCTGCCACTGAGCAGCACCCTCCGGCCCTAAGATTCATCTTCTGTTTGTTCCCATTTTCTCATCCTGCATCCCTCCTTTCCTTCTCGGTGACTTCTCCTGTGTCTGTTAAGAGGCATCATTCTTGATTTCATCAAAGATAAGGAGGAAATATGTCTGAGTTTAACTGTAAGAGGTCTCTTGTGCTGGGCACACCTAACCACTGAGATGGATGTCGCCATTCCTCCTCTTCGGGACCCTTTACAAGCGGAGCCTGTCAGTCCCATAGGGGCTTCATGCTGAAGCTTTATCTTCTGGACCACAGCAGCCCCCCTGCCTAGGCCTTGCTGACCCCCATGTCCCCATAGTGCCCTGTCCTCATATTCCACCTGAGCCCTCACGGATGGGCTCTGTGCTGGTGTCTTCTTGTCCCCCAGAGCCAGTTCCTGAAGAACGGGCCCTCTGCCTACCTTGCTCTCCACTGCCTGGAGTCCGGCTCAGGTGTCCCCTGGTGGCTGTGGGACAGGCTGGCTCCCTGGATATCCCTCCTGCTCCCCTGGCCTGATCTCTCCCATGTGGTCTCCTGCAGGATCAGCATGAGCGGAACCACATCTCGGGGTACTGGAAGCAAGTTGGCCCGATTGCTGTCGGCTCTTTCTGCCTCTTCATATTTGACATGTGTGAGAGGTGAGCAGGTGCCCGTGGCACTCAGAGTGGAGAGGTGACCACTGTGTCCCCCCTGTCTCTTTCACAGAGGGATTTGAGGAGGAGAAAGGGGGTGGGAGCCTTTGGCATGGAAGCACTGGGTGTGATCTCGTCCTCGGCTCAGGATTGGAATGCAGTCAAAGCTGTGGCTTGTTTGTTGGTTTTGTTTCCCCCCACACACCAGGGATTGAACCCAGGTCTCCGAGCGACCCCAGCCCCGTGCATAGCCCGTTAGCATTGCAAAACTTTTGGGCAGTCATCCTCTCTGAACTGTTTCACTTGGGTTCTCGGTGATGCTTCATGGTCTAAGCACAGCTCCTCCCCTGGCTGGAAAGCTAAGCAAAGCCCTGCATTCCTGCAGCCGTGATTATGTTCCACCTTCCCATCTTGTTTCCTTTTGCTTTTGTTTTTGTAGAGGTGTACAACTCACCAACCCCTTCTACAGCATCTGGACCACAGATGTGGGGACGGAGCTGGCTGTATCCTTCCGTATGCACTCGGGGTTTTATTTGTTCCCATAGCTGCTGGGCCCCCAAGATCATGTTGCAGAGCTCAGCTGATGTTTTCCATATGTGCACAGCCAGAGCTTTGATCCTGAGACCAGTAATAATGGCACAATTAAGGCAAAGATGACAAGATTCACCGCTTGCTGAAGCCTGGCTGAGAGCAGCCAGGTGGTGGAGTGCAGATGCTGGTTCTCCCCGAAGCCAGTCTAAATGATCAGTTTACTGCAGGCTGGAGTGTGACCAGCTTTTCCCTGCAGCCACCAAGGTGCCTCTCGGGCCACAGTGGGGGAGAGCCTGCTTCTGAAGTCGCCAGAGCGAGACACTTGGGGCGTGACCTCCGTGCATGCATGCGGAAGCACCCAGCCCCTTTGCTTCGCTGAGACGGGAGTCGGAGTCCGGGCTAAGGTGATTCGTTCAGGGAGACGTCCCAGGATCCTTCGTGAACCAGAAGTGACAGTCCTGGCTTATCCCTTTACCGATGCTGGATTTAAATATTTTATCTCCTGAATGACACGGTTAGTGCTTTGAGAGAAAAGGAGCAGAGAGAAAGCCTGGGCTCCCTTTCTTCCTGGATGGCTCTTATCTTGCCTTGTGCTGCCCAGCATGCTCTGCCTGGCCCTGAGGGTTATGTTGATTTCTTGGTGTCACAGGAATGTTGGGACAAACTGAGTAGTGTCCCTCCCCTAAAGATGACAGATTTTTACCCTCTCCCACCACTACCCCACTGCCATCTCCAAAGAGGTGGCTGCGTGACAGGGAAGCATTTATAGTGTCACGTCGGTTCCACTCTTTCATTTTGATGGGGAAGGAAGTCTAGGTAGCAAGGAAAATTTCATGACCCACAGGCAAAAACCACATTCACTTTATCCTGGAGTACTGCTGATCACAGAAAGGAGAAAGTCACCAAATATACTGGTTACTGAAATATGAGGTCTGATCAAAACAGTGTGATGAATGTTTAAATAAAAAGTTTATTGTAGCAGAAGACACATGAATGCCTCTCACGATCCTCCTTCCTTGCTTACATCCCTCGTCCTTGGCACATTCTGCAGCAGCTCTGCGGTGCTCTTTCCTGAGTGTCTTTATGAAGTGTGATCGAAAACACAGTGAATGCTGCTGCTGAGTGCCATCCAAAGGAAAGGCAGCTCGTAAAAACACGACGCTGTGTCTTCATCCACCTTATTCACCAGTTCTGGCACTATGTGACTTCTGGCTTTTCCCCAAAGTCAGGATGACCATGAGAGGGAAAGATTTCGAGTCCATTCAGGACATCACAGCAGCCACAACAGTGTAACTGGAAACCCTCACAAACAAGAACTTCCAGAACTGCTTCAGAAATCGTCATGAACAATGAGATAAATGTTTTTGAAGTGAGAGGAATTCATGGCAATGTGTCTTTTATTTAATACATTTTGAAAATTTAAACATCATATTTTTGATCAGACCTCAAATGCAGGCTGCACCCACCCTTGTTAAAATGTGTTTTAAAATGTGAGCAGTTTGGGCTGGGGTTGTTACAGCTGAGGTGAGCTGAGCTAAGCCACTCCCCTCCCAAGCCCAGAAACGCTGTCCAAGCCTCGGCGGTTGCCCATTCCATCTGACACGATTTTCAGGACCGAAGATGACCACCAGGACTTCATCCCTGGTTCGACCTGAAGGCCTCCAACTCCAGGCCGGTCCTTGGCAGCGTTTCCTTGGCCCTGTGCGCCTGCCCCCTTACTCCACGCCTCTCGGTCTTGTCTTCAGAAGAGTCCACGGCCAGCCCGGCGGCCCCCAAACGCTCACCTTGGTTTCCTGGCCTGGGAAGCGGTCTGAGCCGCTCTGTGGAACAGCTGTGTCCGAAGAACTCCCAATGGACCACTGCCCTTGGAATGCAAGGTTTTCATATTTTTATCCCCCTCAAAATTCCCTGAGTACCTGGAGACCAAACAAGCGTCTCCCGCAGCTGTGGGAGAAGCACCCGGGCCCGCGTCCCCAGCCTGTGTCCACGGCCAGCCGCCCTCTTCCTTGACTGCACGCTGTCAGATGGCCTTCATCATCGTGGCCGGGATCTGCCTGTGCCTCTACTTTCTCTTCCTGTGCTTCATGGTGTTCCAGGTGTTCCGCAACATCAGCGGGAAGCAGTCCAGCCTGCCCGCCATGAGCAAGGTGCGGCGGCTGCACTACGAGGTGAGCGCCTTCCGGGATCTCCCGCCCTGGACCCGGCAAGCTTCCCTTTCAAGTGCGCCTCTGAGAGGCTCTCACGGCAGGCAGGCAGGCGTGGCGAAGCCAGGTGCGCAGTCTCCTCCGGGAGGGAGGTGCCTAGCCGGCTCCGGAGGCTGGGCTTCTCTGGGCTGTCAGTGCCCCCCTCCTCGGGGCTGTGAACTGGCCCCGCGGGTTCTCCGGCCCTGGCAGAATGGAGGTGCTCACTGGAGGGAGGGCTGGACTACGGCAGAGTTGGGGTCCGGAGCGGGGACCAGGCTTTCGGCAGATTTCCTTTGCGCAGAAGGAGCCTGGGATGGTTCCCAGGCCTAATACCCCACATTGCCTAAAATGTCCAGCAGGCATTCAGCGAGAGAGCAGTAGTCTGTGTGTAGATTATAGGCCTCGTGCAAGAGAAATAGCCAACGTTCTCACATCCCTAATGTACTTAACACAGTCGTGATTTTCTTCAAGACTCCCTTGCTTCATGCCTAAGTGTCTGCACTTGGAGACACGGGCCTAATTCCTTCTGACAAAAGAAGGAAAAGTGCAGAACCCGGGGCTTTTTGCATGCAGCGGGGTCTGCACATAAAAGCTCCCCGTGGACGGGTACTCTGCCCCAAAGCACAGGCCCCCTGAATCCTGCTCTGGGAAATCACACTTTCTGAGGTTTGCTGGTCCCCAGAGCTAGGGTAACACATGAGAAAATTCAACCCAATCTACTTCCTGTTGATGAATATGCAGATTTCCTTTTGTTCACTGGAGCAGAATTTTATTACTACTGGGGAAAACTTGGATTTTTTAAACTCTGGACCCTTGCAGAGAAGCCTAGCCAGCCTAATGGGGAAATTAGTAGCCTCCCGACGTGTTAGGAATACGATTTCCCAGGCTCTGCCACCACTGTTTCGGGAGAGATAAGAACCTGGGAAATAGCTGGCCCGAGAAATGTCTCAGCCATGCTCACCTCTGCGGGAGAAATATTCGTATGTGGAAGTCTTTTGCTGTCTTGTGTAGGGGTTTGGTTTTACAGAGCTCTTTCGAATTAGCTTTTCTTGGATTTCCAGATGGAGGAAAGGCTTCATGAACTGTTAAACTCTCTTCCTCTCTTCGAATAGGGGCTGATTTTCAGGTTCAAGTTTCTCATGCTGATCACCCTAGCCTGTGCTGCAATGACTGTCATCTTCTTCATCGTTAGCCAGGTAAGTGGATCCCGAGGTCCCGAGAGAAGGCCCCAGCGCCCCCTGCACAGGTGCAGAAATTGCAGAGAGGTTATGCTCCGAACACTGGTCAAGCTTTACTGTCCCGACCCCCCAGCCACATGGACTAACTCTGTCCTTTCAGTGTGGCCTCCTACGAGGTAACAGTTGCTAAATAAATTAAAACCCTGCAGCTAGATTGAAGGGCACATGTTTCACTTACTGGAGAGAATAAACTTTGCAAGCAAGCCCTGCAGCATTACACTAACAAGCAAGAATTAATTTGATTGAGTCCTTATCTGGCATTAACATAGATCCTTTGACAGCCCACCAGCCATTCTTTGGAGTAATCACATTGCCACTTAAACAGGGTGTGTAATTCAAAAAGCCCCACTGATACAGCCTTATCTTTCCATTGGTTATTTCCCAAACTCAAAATGTCAGGTGTACTTGAAAATCTCAGGATAATAAAAGTAATTTAAAAGCATTGGTAACTTGCTCTGGAAAATGGAAAGGACTACTGAAATCTAATATATTTGGCATCTATCATACTTTTGAGCCTCTCAAAAATCCTTTGAAGTAAGTAGGGTAGGAACTGTTATGTCCGATGTGCCAGAATATAAACTCTACTGGCATTGGAGACATTTCCCATTTGTGCTGTTTCCAGGCTGCCTGGGAATGTATGTGGATTGCTTAATAGTCCCAGGGTTTAATTTTTCTTATTAAGCAATAAGAAAATAATAGAAGGTTGCTGTAAGGATCACAGGAAGTGTGGCTGGAAAGCGATTAGCAGGACCTCTGGTTCATCCCGTGCATGAAGAGCTCTGTTTGTGAATAGCAAGACCACCGAATGTGTCGCCGAAATAATACACAAGCTGAGGACCAGAGGTTGCTCCTTCTGACTTTTCCTAGTGCTCCGTCACCTGTATGTTTGGCCTCCACAGGGAGTTTTGCGGGGGCCTTGTAGAGCCTTCGGATGAGACTAGCTTCATTCTTCCAGGAAGTTTCTCTGGGGACCCCTCAGCCACCTGGCAAAGGCTATAGGTCTCTTCTTAGAATGCTTCTAAATAACTAAAGTGAAATACTTTGGACTTCAAAGGCAATCATATCTATATTTATTTATGATTCACAAATGTCTACATTTATAACATATAATTATACACATTATAGATATTCCAAGTATATCACAAATGTGTATCTTCAAAAACTAACTCATGTGAAAATATCTCGATTTCTTTTGACAAGAAAATCACAGTGCTAATATGACAGGAATTTGTATCCTACGTTCAAAATGGAGGGAAACGCTAACTCTCAGATAAGACCCTGAAAATAAAAATAATTTTTTCCGACCCCAGTTCAGGGACACCCCCAAGTTCCATCCAAGGGAACTCCAAGTTAGGAGCCCTGGAGCCTGGCCGTGGGGCTGTCCCGTCTTCATGAGCCCCACTCTGAGCAGGCACAGTGCTGTGCTCTACCGGGCTGTGTTTATAAAACCTCAGACGCCTCCCCCCAGCCCCACTGGCGTTCCCTACAGAGCCCCCACCCCAAGTCCACACGCTGGTGCCTCATGCCAGAGTTTAACCCTGTGCGTCTCTCGTGCACTTTTGAAAGCAATGGAAGCCTTCTGCCAAGGAGCATTGCCTGCAGCCTTGCTTTAGAGAGAAAGATTAATATGCCTTGCCCCAGTATCCGGCTCCGGCCTGTGGCTGGCTTTTTATTTCCTCTGTGATAGTTGGCCTGGAGTGGATTTTCCATTAGCTCCTCACATTCCTCCTGCTGGAGTTTTTTAAGGTTTATTTATAGACATCTAAGACATTTTCCCGCATAACTTGCAGTGTCCCCATCCCGTATTAATATAGTCATCAGAGGACTTATTTTGTAAAACCATTTTGGAATGTCAGAGCCATGAGCTCACCTGAAAGGAAACCTATTGGATAACTTTTCTTGAAATGGATCCCAGCTTTAGGTAAAAGGAATGTTTTAAAGCCCCCATTATGCTCTGGGCTTTGCCAGGAGAGCTGCATTTAGGCCCCGTGAAATAGAATGCTGGGGTGGGGGATCGCGCCAGGCTGTCAGCGCTGAGGCCGGGAACGAAAGGCCCAGGGAAGCAGTGGAATGCGTCATAGCAACCAAGGGTGCACCATCCTGCCAGATCTTTCAGCTCCTTCCCGCTGCAGGAGACAGAGGCATTCCTTCTCGAGGCGGTGGCCAGAGGGACTAGAAGTTCAGTGTTGGGGACAAGGTCACCGGCCAGGTCAGGCCATGCGCAGCACACTCCCTGAGAGCTGTCCCGGCCCTTTTGTGTGTGCGCGACCACTTTATTCTGTGACTTACAACAGCAGGGTTCCTGCAAGCCAGCGAGCCTGTCTTCACTCTGGAAACCTTGTTGTTAAGCGGAATGCTGGTTGTCAAGACTACTGGGTGTGAAGGGATTTGACCTTCGCTGGCTGCAGGGCTATAATTGGATGGTTTCACACGAAAGTAAATTGTTGAAATGTAAAACCAGGAGACGGGGGGGGGGGGGGGGCTTTAAGAATTAAGACTTTTACAGAGAGTGATTTTTTTTGGATGGCGCTACCTGATTTTTGTCTCTGGAAGTTAAGAGGGGAGGACTGACCCCGCTGTCCTTGGCTTAGGGAAGGTTTGGAGTCCACAGGCCTGCTCTGTAGAACCTGCTAATTGAGGCTCCTGTCGGTGGGATTGCGCCGAGAGGGTCTTGGGTGTGATAACAGAGAGAAGAACAGGGGGACACAGTTGGTCTCCGGACGGCGGAGCCCACTCTGCACAGCCGGTGTGCCGTCCGCCTCTTTGCCCATAGCAGGAAAGCATGTATCATGTACAGATCCCGACTCCTCGGCCAGAAAGTGATCACACGGCGGCAGCCTAGGCGGCGTGCATGGCCCATGGTCTCCACCTTTGTGCTGTGTGATGGCCAAGAACACCTTCTCTCAAGTCAGAGCCAGGACACTCTAGTGGGGCAGTCTTGGGCAGGATACTGTACTTCCTTGTACCTCTGTGCACCCACGTGTTGAAGGGAAATATTGCTACATAAATAACATCTTTCAGGCGAATGCTCAGCCTCGAGGCTGGCACAGCATGTGCACTGAAGAAATCTTAACTGTGGTCACCCTTGTTACTGTTACAGAAGAATCTGAGCTTTGCTGATAATACCTGTGTTAACCACTGCTTTATGATAGGGAATCCAGTGCAGAGCAGTATTTAGGTGAGCTGACACTTGTCACCCCGTTTCAAGGGCAATTATTGTGATCTACTGTAGGTTGCAATATTTTCTTTTTACTTCTCCACCAGATGTGTAAGAGTGGCTGTTTCTGTACCTCTCCCTCTCTCCGTGTGCTTGTGCTGGGGTCCCTGCAGATTCCTGGGTTTTTACCCCTAGTCATTCAGCAAACTGCTGAGCACCGTCCAGTACGAGACCCAAAGGCTGGTGTTTCCTTACATGGGTTGGGCACACCTATCCTAGCAAGAATCAGCTCCATCAGCACTGACCACACTTGAGCATCCCAGTGTGTATCCACGGATGTAAGTATGGCCTTTTCTGGGCCTTCTCCTGGATGAAGGCCCCACCCGACACCACATCCTGTCCCTCTTGCAGCCCGGTCAGCCCAACTGCCCTCCATCATCACGTGCAGAAATCCCCCGTGTCAGGACAGCGCACATATATTCTAGCAGCTACCTTAAATCTTCCTTCTCCCTTCCATTGTATGCATGAAAAATCTTCATAAGATGCCCCAAGCCTGACAGTTTATATAAAGCTAGGCTATTCCGCACTGGCAAGTAACAAGGGTGACATCTGGAGACGTTTTGAAGAAGTCAGAAGTAGCTTGAATGCTGATGCCAGGGCAAACGTCACTAATGGTTCTAGAACACTTCTTGGCCAAAAAACTCCTAGATATTTCATATAAAGTGAATTATTTGCCAAAATAAATAAGAGTTCATGGTGGTGTGTTTTTTTTTTTCATGAGTCACACAAAATGAACAATTCTGCATCACCCAAGCCAAACTCAAACTGGTCAGCCCAGCATGGGGTAACCCGGGTCACCGCCTCGGCAAAGGGAAATGCTGAGCCGATGACCAGCCGGCCTGCAGCCCAGGGTGGCTGTGTCTTAGTCACTTTCTCAGATGCCCAGCACCCACACCTTAAAGAGGGAGAGACCAGTTCTAGCTCATGGTTTTTGTCCCAAGCGGCTGGCTCTGGGCCATGGTGGAAGGTCCGGGGGGAAAAGCTGCTTACATCATGGTGGCTGGGAAGGGAGTTGTCCAGGAGGGAGATGCTGTCCTCCAGAGCAAGCCCACCCTGCAGGGGCGGTGCCTCTGACCGGACTCACTTTCTGATAGCACACCGACTACGGCCTGATCCACTGACGCGTCCATACCCCAAGATCTACCACCTTCCTTCCCAAAGCCCTGCCGGGGCACACGGGTCTTTTGGGGACATTACCCTGCTTCTTAAGTTGGGAGCCCGTAGTTCTGGCCTGCACCTTACCGAGGAGAAGTGGCCCCCAGAGCAGGTTTATGTGACCCAGTCCGGTGAGGCTGGCACAGAGCCATTTGTCCAGTTTCCTTCCCACTTCAGAGTCCCGTAATGAGCAGCTGTGATCAGAGTCATGTCAGCGGTCTCAGAGCCGGTAGGAATTATTAGTCACCAGCTCTGTTTCCAGCTCCAACTGTGATCCGTGTCTTCGCCAGCCCCTAAAAGAGTTATCAAGCCATGAGCACAGACATGGCAGCTCCAAACCATCCCTCACAGAATTACAAGCATGCAAAGCTTGCTAATCACCTCTGCAAGTGACTGACCTAGAGAGGCACTCTGTAAATTTCTGAGATTTATTGTTTACCCTGGGCCATGCAGTTTCTGGAAACATTCTAACTTAATTCTCCATAACCCTACAAGTGTTTATTTTACACTTAAGGACCCTGAAGTTCGGAGTCTTCCGTTTTGCTTGTCTCATTGCAGAGTGAATCTGAATTAATCTGTGTTCTTTACATACCCGTGGCGCCCTGGCCTTTGGAGATAGGACAGCAGGCAAAACAGAGCTGGTCTCTTGTCTGAGAGGGCAGCAGAGGAGGAGTTGGAGCTGTAGGCCAGGGCAGGGCCCGATCACATCTCTGTAATTCAGGGTAACAACGAACTGCGGCTTTTAGGAAGAGACACTCCCTGGGATGCCAAGGTGTAGGCAGGACGAGAGCCGCCGGTGCTGCGCCCACGTCGCAAGCCCTCCGCACCCCTTCATTTGGACAGGTTTGCCCCGGATGACAGATGGAGCTTATGTGCCCTCGAATCCCCCAAATCCCAAGGGCCTGGCGCTCTGGTGGTTTCTCGTCGGCACCCTGTTCCTGCTCAGCCCCTAGTCCCGCTGTTCTTTTCCCGTAGGTGACTGAAGGCCACTGGAAGTGGGGCGGTGTCACGGTGCAAGTGAACAGCGCCTTTTTCACGGGCATCTACGGCATGTGGAACCTGTACGTCTTCGCGCTGATGTTCCTCTACGCGCCATCCCACAAGAACTATGGGGAGGACCAGTCCAACGGTGAGTGGCAGCCTCCTTCGCACAGCTGGGTGTGGGCAGTCGGTTTCTGTCTCTAGAGGACCCGAGAGCTCCGAGTGCATCCAGAAAACCCCTGGAGCTGGGAGACAGTGGCTGAGGACACAGGGTGCTGGGGATGCAAGACACACCACCCATGCAAGCCAGGTAGTGCTTGAAGTCCTCGTGTTTTTAATCTCTAAAATACACTTAGGATGCTTTATGCTATTTTAAAATATGTCCCAGTTTTAGTACACAAAGAATCAGATTTGTTTCCCTGAATAGTTTGAACAAAATCGACCATTAAATGCAATTTTTAGTCTTCCTGTATTCAAACCATTGGACTAATAAGTGGTTCAGCCTACCTACATTATGATATGAGCCGCATCAAAAAAAGACTGATGAATTTTTAAAAAAAGATATTTCACATCTTTCAGTTTTGCACCAGAAACTGAAAGCCACTAATGATTGAGATGGGACATTTGCTTCTACTCTGAAGACTTATCCAAAACCCAGCACTTTGGCTGGCACCCAGGCCCAAGCACTGGGAGGCCGTGGCTTCGTTAGAAGAAAGTGGTGACCGCAGGGAAACTGGAAATGACCTTTGTGCTGTAAGGAGAAGCCAGCTTTATCCTTGCAGAAGGCACCATGAACTGACTGGTGTGAAGCTGTTTGAAATGACAAGCTCGGGTGAAGACGGTACGGTGAGGTTGGCATCCGGGTCCCAAGATGCAGGGTCCTTGGATTGCACAGCAGGGCAAGACCCAACTGTGCACAAAACTTCAGCAGGGTTCAGGTCAGTGTTCCCAACAACAGAGCTGACGGGGTGTTGGCGCTGCTGCCTCGAAGGAGACAGTGTCTGTACAGCCAGAGAAGCTCAGTGGAGGCAAGCCTACGGGCATGTGTGAGAAGGGCTGCGACATAAAAGATGAATGTGCCTCAGAAGACATGCTGGCAAAGCCTGCACATTAACGAACTCAGTTAATTTCAAGGCATTAAAGTGCAGAGGACAAAATTTTGGTAGCTGATCCAAATTTAGGAGTGGGACAACCACCCCACCCCACCCCGAATGGAAATGACGTTCTTTATTTTAAATAATATAACAGGAAAGTAGGGCCACTTCAAACCACTTGATAAATGATGAGTACAGATGTAATTTTCAATGCTTTCTAGTATCTTAAATTAGAGCATACTAAAAATATCAGCCTTGTGCTATTACAAAGTTAGTTTTCTTGTTAACATTTATAACAGCAAGAGAGTTACATTTTTTTGGTACCGGGGATCGAACTCGGGTCCTTGCACTTGTGAGGCAGGCGCCGGAACCACTAAGCTAAATCCCCAGCCCCAAGAGTTACGTTTTTGACTGACACCTCCCACCCCATTTGAGATTCAACTCAGGAGCTCCACCACTGGCTTACACCCCCGGCCCTTTATCTTTTATGTTTAGAGAAGGTCTCTCTAAGTTGCTTAGGCTGGCCTCAAACTTGTGATCCTCCTCTGTAACTGGAATTACAGGTATGCACCACTATGCCTGGCTTTTTGTTGAAAAAATTTAAGGTCTGTGAATAATCAGACATCCCCTCCTAGGAGATTGTACTGCAGCTTCAGCTTGTGTGGTCAAAGCCATACACGCTAGAGAACCTTCCTAATTATCCAAACGTGTCAGATCTACACATGTTTGTTTGGTAATTCTTACTTTTCAACACTGCTTTTGCATGCTGCTGTATCAAAGCTTTGAAATAAAAATGTGTAATACTGAAAGGGAAAAAAAAGGTATACGCCACCTTAGTCTTCCAGTTTGGGAGGTGAGACCCCATGATAGCATGGAGTGAGCCCGAGACCTGAGCGTGTAAGGTGGAATGGGTTTCATTTTTCTCCTGCAAATTTTCCTTCAAGGGTTTGCTTTGGGTTTTTGTGGTGTGGGGATCAAACCCGCTAAGCAAGGCTCTCCTACCAGGCTACACCCCCATCCCCCTTCCCCAGCTCCAGAACCTCCTCGTGCCTTAGTGCTGATGCCCTGAGATCTCAGAATCCTGAGAGGTTGGTGCTTCCAGGACCTCCGAGACTCAGCCCACCTGTCCTGGGGAGGGGAGGCCTCGAGTGCCTGAGAAGGGCAGACCGCACAGCCTTTCTGCCTTTCTGCATCAGCCACGGCACAGGGCGATGGCCCCCTGCCTGCCTGGCTGCAGCCCTGCCCCTTCCGACCCTGTGCCTGTCCGCCTCACCCCAACACGAGCTGGAGCTCAGTTTCCCGAGTGAGGGGAGTAGCCGGAGGCTGCCTCACTTTCAGGAAGTGCTCTGCAGCGCATGGAGTGCACGCGTGACTCCGCCCGCATTAAGGCTGATAAAGTCCCACCCACCGGTCCTTCGCTTCAGGCCAGGCAAACTGCTGCTCTCCTTGGCCTGTACTCATGATCACTGCAGTTGGAATCCAGCGTGGTGGTTTCCCTGAGACACGGTGGGTTTTAGTGGTCAAGTTTGAGTCCGCTGATGAGCAGGGGTGAGGCGCTCACTGTGTACTGAAAGTCATGTAAAAGAGATTGGGGTAGCAGTGTCTCCTCACATCACAAAACCATCTGTCTGTCCCCCGAGCCATCTCCCAGAAAGAGGTCTTTTAAAGCCATTGCCCTGTGGAGCAGCCTGGGGGTCACGATTCTGCTTTGCACTGCGTAGACGTGGTCAGTGGGTTTCCCCAGGCCTGAGCCAGCTGATTGGTTACTCCCTAAGGACAGGGCTGCAGGCTGCCGTGCGTGTGTGCGTGTGTGTGTGTGTGTGTGTGTGTGTGTGTGAGATTCACACTGAGCTACATCCCCAACCCTTTCTTAAAAATTACTTTTATTTTAAAAGAGTCTCTGAAAGTCCCTAAGTCACCCAGGCAGGGCTCGAACTCGCAGTCTCCCACCTCAGCCTCGAAGTGTGTGGCACTGGCCTCCCTCTGTCCGCCCTCTTCTCAGCCACGCCCCCTTGAGAGTGCCCGAGACCTGAGGCTTCGCTCCCTTCTGTGTTTGGCTTCTTTGGAGCAGACATCTCATCACCCTCTCTTAGATACATCGGTGTGGGTCCCAGGTCAGAACAGCGCCTGGGTTTATTGGCCCCAGCCGTCAGCTTCCGCTCTGCTGTCCCCTTCTGGTGTTTTACTTTGTGCAGGGGAGGCTGAGGCAGGCAGCTTCTCTGGCAGTGACCTCCATGGTGCCAGCATGGGGATTCCGGGCTTGTGGACCAGAACCCTGATCTCATTTTGTGGTCATCCTGTTGATCCTGCCCCTGATGTGGGTGGGTGGGGCTCAGGGAAAGGGGAGGCCGTGGAAGGGGACCCCTGCCCAGGAGGATGCCGTGCTGAGATTGCTGAGTACTGAGTACGAGGCACAGCACCTCTCACACACAGGCAGCAGGATCAAAAATACAGTGAATGCTGACAGTTAAAGCAACACGTGGCCACCAATCTCCCCCTAAACAGGGCCCCCTTGCTTTGAACACACTTATCCCATCGCTCTTGCCACTTTCTGCAGCAGCTCTGGAGTCCTCCTTCCTGAGGGTCTTTACAAAATGTGATCAAAAATATGGTGAATGTTCCTGCCAAGTGCCGTCCAGTGGAAAGGCAGCTTGTAAAACACGATGCTGTGTCCTCGCCCATCTTATTGGCCGGATCTGGCACCGTGTGACTCCCTGCTCTTCCCCAAAGTCAGGATGACCATGAGAGGGAGATGTTTTGAATCGATTTAGGACATGGAGGCAGCTGGGACAGCAAAGCTAAAGACCCTCAGGAGAGAGGACTCCCAGACCCTGCCCAGGCAGCTTAGTGACTTAGCAAGACCCCATCTCAAAATAAAAAATAATTAAGAAAAAACAAAAAGGACTGGGAATAGGAATCCCAGTTCAGTTCCAAGGTCCTGAGTTCAGTCCTCAGTTCAGAAAAAAAAAGAATTCATCCAAATCATTTTCCATATTTACAGGTACCTAAAATATAAACACACACCTATAGTTAGAGCCCTGAACCCTTGGTTCCGCATCTTCAGACTCAGCTAATCGCGGGCCAGAAGCCTCCCATAGCAAGGGCCTGTACCTCACAGGTCCACTGGTTCCTGCCCTGCTCCCCATGCTGCCCGTTTGGCTCCCATGTATGTCGAGGTCGGTGCTGGGAAGCCTAGGATTCCGGCAAATGTCACAGCGTTTAATGAGAAACTTCAGCGCCTTCAGAGTCCGTGTCCCGGGGGTCCCCAGAGTTCCTTGATTATGCAGTTCAAGGTTCTTTCTCCAAGGACAGCCCCCCACTTAGGGACTGGTGTCAGGCCCCCGTGTGACTGGGAATGGGGCCGCAGTGCATCCAGGACACTAAGCCATTACTCCAAACTGCTAAGTTTCTAGTGTCCCCTGTCTGGCAGTCAGGTATTTGAGCGGCTTTGGCGGCAGGTTGGAAACACCCACCCCAAGCCATGGTGACAGGGACCTAGAGATGCCAGGGCCCCAGTCCCACCAAAGCCTCTCTACCCTAGGAAGCATCCCCAAGCCCAGCCACCACCCCAAAGCACAGCCGCTGAAGGCTTCTCAGCCCCCGTGGGGACCCCAGAACTAGCCTGGCAGGCCAAGCAGGGAGGAGCTGGGCGTCCTGTACTGGGCAAAGTTGGGTGGGTGTTTTAATGAGCACTTACTACATACGAGGTACTGTGCTGAGTATTTACTTTCTTAAAAAAACAAAGTTGAGAAAATATCTACTGTCCATTATTTTAATACAGTAATTATATTAACACCCAACACACAGGGCGCACATAAAATTAAGTAACAGTCCTTGGCTTGAAAATCCCTAGCTGTACAGATACCAGACATGCCTTGTTTCTCTCCTGCTGTAAACCAGGGACTTCGTGACAGACTTGTCCTTTGAGCCTAGCTTTGGTGGTGGATAGCAGAGAGGTTGCTGTGGACTCAGGATGGCACCATTTGTGTTCTGGGAAGAATGTGGATTTGAGGAGACCCGGATGGCTGGGAATCCCAGCTCCCGCTGCAGACTGTGGGTGGCTTTGAGGAGCAGGTGCGGGGCTCTCTGGCTTCCCCTCCACAGGAGCCGGTGCTTGTGAGAAGGGAATCGGGCGCCCTTGTTCCTGTGAGAGGGCTTCCTTCTTCCCCGGCTCTGAACCACCTCCCGCCAGGCACAGCAGCTTCCCTTCTTCCACTGAACCGGCCACAGGTGCAGGTGACTGTCTCTAAAGTGCCGCTGGGTGTGACAAGGGGCCCAGCACCATGGCCTTCTTGGTCCCGTGACCCCACCGGCAGGCGCCCTGGTCGTGCCCTTGGAGATAGTGTCGGGAAGTAGGAAGAACCCAGCCTCGCATTCAGGAGCTGGGGTGGCAGCCGTCACCCCAGGCAGCAAGGGTCCCCCGGGTGGGCGAGTTTCTGGGCACCCCCCCCCCCCGCCAGGGCAGCAGCACACACTTCCGGGAGGGCTCTGGTGTGAGATGGGAAGAGGCTGAGCACCCAGAGGTCAGGTCCTGGGACTGCTGCTGTCACCGCATGGTCCCCCGCTTTCCCTAGAGAACGGTTGCCCCTCAAGAGGCAACAAATAAACCTACACAAGACTCCTAGACTTTGCTACCTAGGATCCCTCTGATCAGGGACCTCACGCAGCGCGTTTAAGAAACAAACTAGGCCTCAGTGTCTGCCAGCTCAGGAGGAAACCAGGCAAATGCACCCGCATCTTAGCTCTGTGCTGAAGTTTATCTGTGAGTGCATCATGGACAGGCTAAGCTTACGTGCAACGGGTCACGTGTACATTTCTACCTGCAGCTCCCTGCCTGGGGACTTCCTCCTTGGCGGGCAGCAGGAAACTTGAATACTGACCAAGAGCAGGCAGTGAGCTCCAGGCCCGGAGCCCCAGGGCCCTGGTCTGAATCCCATGTCACTAATGATCAGGCCTGGCCTTGAGCAAGTTCCTTGTCACCAGCAGATGCGATAGCACCTGAGTCCAAAGACAGACACAAGGATTAGCGCATTAATATTGGTGCGGTGCTATGCACTATAATATAGAGATCCATTTATTTTTTTTAAAGCAGTTTTGGCTGTTTCTCCACATGACCTGCTGGATCACACAGGTTTTCTAGGATCTGCTGGTTGAAGTTACCTTTTGGGCTTAAAACTATCCCAGGGTGGGCTGGGGATATAGCTCAGAGGCACAGCGCCTGCTTGGCAAGCATGAGGCCCTGAGATTCCCAGTACCCAAAAAACAAAAACAGAATCTATCCCAGGGTCCACCTGAAGGAAGCCTTGGTAAGGGATTCATTCCTTAGGTAAACACTTCCCTGGGTGGTCAGGGTGCCTTTGAAATTCTGAGGACCCCCACACAGAACGCAGATCAGGGCTGCGCAGATATGCAAATCCAGGACTGGCTTTCCTCCCTCCACCTGAGGAGGAGGCTGGGGCTTTGCTCACCTCGCTGGGGAGAAGCTGCCCAGAATGCAAGTCAGTGACCTCAGTGGTTTGGCTTGACCCCAGGCAGGCCACCGTAAACCCTGTAGGAGAAGCCAGGCTCTGCTGGTCTCCTTGCTTACCTCCTGACCCAGCGCAGGCAGCTCAGGCTGGCTGGGCTCCTGGATGCCTCTTTGGTGCTTTCTCTGCCCAAGCCTGCGCGCCACAGGCCGGTGGCTGCTAATAGGACAGAGCTTGCTGTGCAGCCCTGAGCCATGCGTCCACACTGAAGCCTGATGCCAACCAGGCACCCTGCAGGGCTGAGTGTACGGCCTTGGGCTGCAGGATGTCACATCCATTGATGCCAGGTAGAAGCCCTGAGTGCAGGGACTAGGCTGCCAGCGTCATGGGATGGGAATCCCAGCTGAGAACAGCATCCGTCTGTCCAGCTCCGTATGGATCATCTATCGATTGATTGATCGATTGATTCGATCTATCTATTCTACATGTTGAACTAGGAAAAGGGTCAGCCCCAGAAAATACTGTTACGTGCGCAAGATAAGAACTGGAGACACAAGCTGAATGTATTCCCTGGCATTCCCGTACACAAACACCCACATACATGTACACGGGCACACCACACACCCGTGGTGGTTGGGGTAATGGTTCATTCTCCCCTTGCAAATTTACATTCTCACAATCGCCTGAGGGTAAGCAGCGAGGAAAAGACGGAAGCTACTGGAGCGAGGAAAGGCCACCTTAGCCCCTGTTAGCAGAGCACCTGTCTGCCCCTGATGCTGAGTTCGGGACACGCTGGGTACCGAATCCCAAGGGCAGGAGAAAACGCCCAGCACATTTTTGGTATTTTTTTCCTAAAGGGGAAAGGTCCAGTTGTTCCTCAGTGTGGGGCTGGCTCAGGTTCTTGGTGGGTACAGGCAGAACGTCATCTTTGCCTTTCGTCCTGGTCCTGACAGAGCTGCATTGTAAACTACCCTCGGCAAATAAAAACGTGTCCACCCTTCCTGTCAGTAGGGAGGTGACTTGTACTGACTCAGCCTACTGCAGGGACCCAGGAGACGCTCCTGCCTCGGCCTAATTGCTTGCTTTATTAGGCGGCTGCAGATACCTTCTTTACCTCCCAGTTTCTTCCTCTGTACAGCTGCTGTGATATCTGTATCTGTGCCCTAGAGGGCTGGGTAGGGATTACATAAGATCCTGGGCAAAGTGCTTAGAAAGCGTCAGGCACAAGTGAGCGCTTGTGAGGTGATAGTCATTACCTATGTGCCCTCCGCAACAAGCTAACACAAAGTCACCCAGAGCTTCTCTGGGAGCCAAGACTCCTGCCTAGGTGGGGAGTGGGGCTGAGGACCCAGCACAGGCCCAGCCTGGCCCTCCCTCCTCCTGCAGCACAGCTAACTCCGCCCCCTGTTGCAGGCGACCTGGGCGTGCACAGCGGCGAGGAGCTGCAGCTGACCACCACGGTCACCCACGCGGACGGACCCACCGAGATCTACAAGCTGACCCGCAAGGAGGCCCAGGAGTAGGCGGCGCCCGGCCCGCAGGCTGTGGCCCTCAGCGCCCGGGTTTCCTGGACCTGCGGCCGGAGCTGTCAGGTGGCCTCAGAGTGGCCTGGGTGGTCCCACAGCCATGTGCGATGACAGCTCCCTGGTGAGGCACGTCCCGGGGCCAGGGCTAACTGGTGGCATAGGACAGCGGCAGCAGGTGGTAGTGAGCCTCGTGTGCCCTTCTCGGGGGAAGGCCCGGCCCATGGGGTCTGTAGCGAGTGGATTATGACTTTTTTTTACTCCTGTTTTAGATTCTGGGATAGATTTCTAACATTCTCTGCCATCAGGCGTGCTGTTGTCTCAGCCTCACGTCCTCAGCCGTGACCACTTCTTTCTTCCTATTTATATCATCAAGTAGCCGACTGAGTTAATATTTAAGTTGTCAATAGATCTGTGTCCCTATTTTTATGGCCTAATATAAAATAATTGAATTTCATGAGAAGGTCCATTCGACCAGAGGCATTTCAGCTTTGAAACCAAATCTGTGTATCCGCTACTAACCAGACTGTCTGTCGGGTGTGGGTTTAAAAAAATGTTTGCTTAACCACCCCCAGTAGGATTTGTGGTATTAAATGGCCTTTGGGTCTGAAAAGCTTTTTTAACCTCTTGCTTAAAATGTGTTTTCTTTTGATAAGATGCTTCAAAGACTCTCCAAAAGTGGAGATGCAATCATTTAAATAAGCTCAATGCGTTCGGCCACGTGGAGGTGCGAATCCATGCTGCTGCAGGGCTGGGGAAAGCTTTATGAGAAATTCAGATACTTTGTCATCAAACCAGAGCGTTTGGGGGCAGCAGCGCTTCTGGCAAATGAGGCAGCATTTCCGTACCGGTGGTGAGCTTAGGGTTCAGCAGTGAAGTGGGGAGAGTCGTGTGCTGTAGACACGGACACGACCTGCACACTCACCTTCTGCCCTCCTCCCGTGACCCTCCAGGTTGGGTAGTACGCCCTCCTGGAGGCCACGCAGCCCTGAGGTAGAAGGCGCTGCCATCTGCTAGCAGTGGCCTCAGTCATCCCTGCCTGTGTCCCGGGTCGCAGTGGACACTGAATCCCGACACTGTGTGCTGTGCTTTGTGACCACAAATCTGGCCGAACGGGCCCTTCCTGGTGTCTGCCACAGCCCTGCAGTGGGGGTTTTGGGGCACAGAAGTTGGGTTCACCCACCCAGCACCCCAGTGCTCCTGTCCCCGGTGCTGGCGGAGGCCGGGCAGTCAGGGCTGGCAGCAGACGCCCGCATTTCCTGCCCCGGGTGCGGGCACCACTCTGACCAGCGCTGTCCGTGCCGCCTGCCAGCCAGGCGCTTGTGCTGGGCGCCCTCGGGACAGGGACAGAGCCACCCACGCAGCGAGGCAGGGAGGGCCTCTGTGCCCAGGGACGGACGAGGGCCTGAAAGAGCTTCAAAGAAGAAGCAAGCCCTTCCCAGGGCCAGAGGGCAGCAGGCCCAGCAAGACAAACAGAAGAAGCGGAGCGCAGAGCTCAGCTGGCTGGGCCCAGACACCCACCTGCCAGCCGGAAGGAGCAGGCTTCCCTTTCATGTCTTTCTTCTTCTTTCAGCGTGTTGTTAAGACATAGTGGCCACCTCCGCCTTGGGGACCTGGCCCACGTCCTCGCCTGCCACACTTTGGTCATCTTTCCTTGCCCTTCCTGCCTGTCTCCTGTTCCTCACTAGACCCCTTCCATAGCCACACAGTCTGCTTCCCCATTTCCTGCTCTTGCTCCTTTATTCTGCTCTTGGAAACCAGCGGTATTGAAGCTCGTGTGTCTGATTTATTTCACTTAAAATTCTGGTCTCCAGATGCACCCATTTCCTACAGATGACTCAAGTGTATCCTTCTTTATGGCAGAGTAGTACTCCTTGGCGTGTAAACACCCCGTTTTCTTTATCCATTCATCTACTGATGGACACATAGGCTGCTTCTAAGATTTAGCTGTTGTGAATTGTGCTGCTGTAAACATGGGTGTGCATGGATCTCTGAGACAGGGTCTCACTGTCTCACAGGGTCTCAGACTGGCCTTGCACTCACTACGGAGCCCAGGCTGGCTTCAAACTCACAGCAATTCTCCTGCCTCAGCCTCCCAAGTGCTAGGTTTACAGGCATGCACCACCATGGCCGGCCAGGATCCCTGTGATAGGATGACTTTAACTCTTTCAGGAAGATGCCTACAAGGGGCCAAGTGGCATTTCTATTTTTACTTTTGGGGGAATAGCTGCAGGGCTTTAACTCTCATGCTGAGAGTGACCAGACTACCTCGGGCTTTCGGCAAAGAAGAGACCTGGTCTGAGTCACCTGTGGGCTCAGCATGGCTGGCCCAGCCAGCACAGGGCCACCAAGACTGAGGCCACGTGGAGAAGGGAGGAGGACCACGGGGATGAAAAGGAGCCGGGCACAGGATGTGAGCATCTCAGAAGCCAACAGCAGCGCCCAGCAGGGCCGGCTCCCGGTGCGCAGGTGAGCGGCAGGAGCCAACTGCAGGCTGAGCCCCAAGAGCTCCCGGTGTGTCACCGGTCTGTGGCAGAGCGGAAGGGTCCAGAAGGAGGGAAAGCGCTCCCAGGGCCCCGCCAAGTGTTTGTCTCTCACTTCGGAACCAGGGGTGCCTGCAGGGTGCTCAGCTCGGGCAGGGAGTTGGGTCTTGTGGCAGTGGGACTCACTGGTGGGTGGGCAGAGCCCATCAGGAGCTGGCAAACAGAAAGTCCTAGCACCATGGGCAGAGGGCTGGGTTTGGACCTTTCCGAGCTCAGTTTTAGAAGCCATCTCTGTAGGACGTGAGGAGCCGAGCCGCCCGGTCACAGAGGGAGAGGTGCAGCCCTTATCGCTGCAGACGAGGAGCGTGTGGCAGCACCGGAGCACAGCAAGATCACAGCCAGAGTGGTGAGCCAGCCCCTGGCCAGCCCCTAGCTGTGCTCCACAGCCAAGGAAGCAAATGGGGGACCAGTCAGAGAAATGTGGGTGCTAGGGAAGCTCAAGAAAGAACTAGATTTATAAAGCAAAACACGGCCAGGTGTCCCGGAGGCCCAGCAGTACTAAAGGACTGGGTTCAGCTTGTGAGCAGGGTGAGCAGGGTGTGCTCCGCCTTCCCAAGGGGCGAGGGCCCAGGTCAGACCGAGAGGCCCAGCAGAGCCAAGGGTGGTCGTGCTGGGAAGGAAGACGCATGATGCTTGCTCTGAGGAAGCCAGCATAAAGCAAGGCTTGTTTCTCAGCCTGGGAGGGATCCAGACTATGTTTGCCAACCTGAGGGCTGAGATCAACCCATCCATGACGAGCAGATGAAGATGCGCGATATGAGCCACAGGAAAGCCAAGAGGTTTGGGGCTCAGACACCAGCTAATGAGTCAGCTTTGAGGGAGGGAAAGAACACTTTCACCCTCAGGAGAAAAATAACAGTGGACCACGAAGGAGAAAACAGAGCTGAGGTGGAAAAGAAGGGTTGCAACCCAGCCACGAGCGTCCTGACTTCTCCACCAATAGGAAATGAGTGCTGGGGTCCAGACACGTCCAGCCCAGAGAGCCAGGTGGAGCACGGCCAGTTTCCATCCGTGGAGAGTGAGGGCGGACTGCTCGGGGGGAGGAAAGCTTGCACTAAGGCCCAGCAAACGGGGAAAACATGCCTGGCCGTGTCCACCCTTCTTTACACATCAGCATAGAAAGCTTCTGAGTTTGGCTCAGTCGTAGCAGTTCCCCCAACATCTCCGTGCTCAGAGGTGGGGTTCCTGGAAGGTGACTGGATCGTGGGAGCTCAACAGCGGATTTGCCTATGGGTGAATTCGCGGCCGGATGTGCTGTTAGGAGGTGGGACTTGCTGGAGAAGGCGGGAGGCACATGGGAGTGCCCCTTTGGAGGGTCCATAGCCCGCCCTGACTCCTCCTCTTGCTCCTGGTTGCCATGGAGTGAGCAGCTTTCCCCCAGGCCATTCCTGTTCCTTGGAGCCACAGACCACAGACTGAATCTCCTAACACATGAGCCAGATTAAACCTCTCCTTTACATTGTGGGTGTCAGGCATTTTGTCCCAGCAGCAAGAAACCGACTGATAGCTTTAAAAGAATATTATAGAGAAGTACACTTTTTGAATATCTCTTTTTTGAGAACAAAGAAAATTCACCAAAATATTAAAGTAAGTAATATCCGTGACTATTTCAAGTAGAACACAAAGTCAGTTTTGTGCTGGTCATCCCACGGCACTTCCACTCTCCCTTATCCCTACATTTTCCCCTAGGGGAAGAAAACCACCATAATAATGAAATCAGAGGTTCGTGCATGGCCCCCTTATTACTTCTCTCACTGCTGGGACAGAAGACCTGACCCCCACAGCTTAAGGGGGAAGTTGATTCTGGCTCACATTTTAGTCCACCGTCCGTGGGCTCCAGAGCGCGGCACGGGGCGTGTCGGAGGAAAGCTGCTCAGAGCAGGGCGGCCAGGAAGCAGGGGGCAAGGCAGGAACCGGAAGGGAGCGAGCGGGACAGTGGCCCTGCTCTGTGGACTGGACGTCGAGGGCGGAGCTCTCTGTGACGGTGCCCACACTCTGCATCAAGGTGAGGCCTCCTCCTGTGACTGCCCCCTTTTGTCCCAGAGGAGGCCTGCTGTCGCCCTGCCTCGGAGCTTCTGACCCCAGCCTCGGCATCTCAGCCCCCATCCGCGCCTCCACACAGCTTCCAGAAAGTCCTCTGGCTCCCGTCACCTGTTCACTGCTCCCTCGTTGTTGCCGCCTATGATGCTCCGAAGCAATACTGCTCCAGCTGGCGCATAGTGGGATCGGAATGCTGCTTCCTGTCATGGGCCCCAACCATCAGCCTAAGAAATCGCACAGGATCTTCAAACTCGCCACGGCCTACTTTTCTGCTTATCCTGACCACGTCATAACCACCAACACACTGAGTCTTACAAATGGGCATTATCAATGCCTTCCTCCGTGGGCAGCGGTATTTCTGAACTTAAACGTGGGCCTTCACAGCCTCCCTGGTAGATTTTACTTCACGCACGCACCAATTCAATACATGAGGTATGTCTTTAGCTTTAAAAATAAGTATTGAGGGCCGGGGATTTAGCTCAGTGGTTTCGCCGCCTGCTGCTCAAGCACAAGGACCTGAGTTCGATCCCCAGTACCTAAATAAATAAATAAATAAAATAAAAATAAGTATTGATGACAGTGTAAATAGTTAAATCCTTTCCAAACGAGACACAGCCTGGCTTCAGTCACTGGAGAATTTAGAACTGAAAACCCTCTCCGGCCTGGACTTGCCTGGGTCCAGCTGTCCTCTCCACAAACACAGACAGCGAACGAAATCGGGAAGTGTGTGTGTGTGTGTGTGTGTGTGTGTGTGTGTGTGTGATACGTAACTTCATAACTTATACATTTGCCCTGTCACCCACGAAGCCAGAACACAGGTCACTTCCGAGACACGCGGCCCGGAGCATGCAGTGACTTGAGATGCGACTGAAGGGGGCACTGCGGCCGGGTCGCCCACGCTCACTGCCATTGCGGGAGCATTTCTGCAGCACCAGCTCTGAGACCCAAATGACCCTATTGGGAGCTGCGCGTCCATCCTGCTCCACCGTGGTGAGTGTCTGCCCTCTTGTGGCCAAAGGGAGAATGTCAGCTATCGGAGC